TCCATAATATTATTAAAGCAAAGATGCAGTAGATGGCTTCCATCAGTACTCCCAAAGCTTGCACAGGCCTTTACCAGTTTCTGGATTGACATTTCCCTCTGTAACTTTAGGCAGTTTTCATTTATATGCGGTTAGTGTTGATGATCGCATTATTTTTCATATGCATATGCTTACATATGAGATCGCTCGTTTCGTTAATAAGACTGTTAATAAAAGTATCGTCATTTGAGTGTTAATGTTAGAGGCCTTTACCATTAAAAGATTAGCCTTTTATTTATTTGTTTATTTATGTAATTACTTACTGTTTAAAGGAGACCTATTATGCCCCTTTTTACAATATGTAATATAAGTCTCAGGTGTCCCCAGAATGTGTCTGTAAAGTTTCAGCTCAAAATACCCCAGAGATCATTTATTATATAATTTTGAAAGTGCCTATTTTGATTGGAAGCAGAAACACGCTGTTTTCGCTCATGTCTCTTTAAATGCAAATGTACTGCTGATCCCCGCCCCCTTTTCCAGAATAGGGCTGTGCCTTTACAGCTCATTCCTCAGATATTTTGTTAAAAAACATCTGTTTGGTTTTGATTTGGTTTTCATGTCTTATTGTGTGCTTAAACTGTCAAAAACACACAAGTTTGTTAAAAAACTCGTGAGTTATAAATAGGTTATGTCTGTGAAGATAAACAGCTGGGAAAGAAATCTCATGTTTATATTTGATCTGTGTGGCAGCAGCGTAATATACAGTAAATAAATCAATAAATCCACTGCTCTCGTGTCTCCTCTGAGGCTGGGACTCTAAACAGTGTAATGTGTTCGACGATGCAGCCAAAGACAGAACAGTTAGCATCCTTTGCTCGAACTTTGGTCATGGTGTTAGAACTGGTACACCGTTGTCGCTTGTGAAATCAAAATGACGGCGCCGTGGGTGGAAACTTGCAGATTAAGGGGCGGTAATATTATAAAAAGATTCTTCTTATTCTTGACCTGTACTGCTTTTGTTTAAAATTTGAGTGGTTTGTGGTTTTCAGTGCAGTACTTTTCAGTATATTTTTCATTAAGTTATATTTTAATATCCTAATATTGCAAAACTCTGCAGCAAAGTAAAGAGCATCATCAAAATACACTAGCCTTCAGTGAAGTACAAAGGACACCTTTGATGTTGAGTGCATGTCTTTTACATTTTGATGGTTAGACAGAGTATCTTAAACTCCTGGAGAATTAAACTGGTCATTTTATGTAGAGGAAGTGGTATGTCTGAATTTGTTGGCTAGGGTACATGAAAGGCAGAGGAAATTAACATGCCGACATTCTGCTTTTCTGCTTATTAAGCTTTGACTAGGACAGTCAAAACACTACTTTCCTTCAAACCTGTTTAGAATAAAAAATTAGCTCCATAGCTAAAACACTGGATTGCCAAACATAGTGTAAGATATTGGGCTACATCACCAAGAAACATCAGCACTTCCTGTGCAGCAATTCCTCTACGACCTTCAAAATAATCCAGCCAGAGCTCAAGGTTTTGCTGTTTATGTTGTGTTTACACATTTGTGGTATTGTTATTAATCCGTGTTCATCTTGGGACAGCTGGACCTACAAATCCTGTTTACCTGGTTCGCAGGGGTTTGTTTTCCTTCCCCTGATGGGATCGTTAATTCAGGATTGTAATTGATTAGTGCCTTCCCTCGCTTAGAATCTGCCTCGAACCTGACTAAAATCACAAACGCCCGCAGACTTCCCGCAACCCACCGGTGACATTTTCATGTCTTTAGAGGACATCTCTCGCAGTGTTTGTTTTCCCAGAGTCCGTATTTCAGATATGGACACTAGTAGACTTGGTTTATAGAGGCTTTTAGATGCATTTAGTGTGGCACAGAAAACCCCAAGCAGTGCGGTCTCATGCCGCATGCTACAAAAGCAGAAGCTGATTTGACCCTGACGTTAAGCTGTTTATGTGAACAAACTGAGGGCTATAGGTACCTGCTCTGTGTTCATTATTAATATGGACTAGTTTGACTCTAATGAATGGACTCATGAACATCCAGTTCTCCAGGTCAGAGATCAGGGCAGCAGGAGTATGAATGTGTGAAATATTGATTTGAGGGGTCAGCAGGGTCAGTGATGTTTAAAGAAGGCTCATCTTTACAACAGACCTTAGATACATTGGCAATGTTCAAAGTAGGATACTGCTAAGTTACTATATGTACTGAATACCCAGATGACCCACTGCATTGAGCAACAGCTTTCATAATACTTTTACATACGATTTTTAATTGATGCATTTCAGCTGTTCGTGCATTCAGTAAGACTTAAACCCATGAGTTTGGGGTTGCTTGTGAAATGCTTTAATGCGCTTGACTTATTTAATCAGAATCTCAGTAATTAAGACATTTTAAGACACTATAAGTAAATAATACAAAATAAACCAGATGCAGACATTTTTAGAATTAAGTGAACAGCAGATGTACTACATTGTACTGTTCTAAATGTTTACCATTGCATATTGTGTGCATGTTTTGCATACTATAAAAAAATAATAATATGAAGTATTCAGTGTATACTGCACAGTATGCATTATGCCTCCATTCAGAATCCGAACATAGCCCCAGATGATGATTATTTTTTTTATTTACCCCAGTGTTACTGTAATTTTTCTATCTGGAGTGTTTGTAAGGCAGACACTTGTAAGGCATTGTCTGAGTTTAATTACACACCACACAGCCTGTTTGCTCTTCAGCCATTATAATAACGTTCGGTGCCACTGAACGAGCTCACGTAATTTGCTCTGTTGTGAAGATTACATTTTCCTGACCTAATAAAGCTGTTAAGGATAATAGCTTGGAGAGTGGCTGCATTTATGTTCTTACATGCAGTATTTTGTGCAGTACGAATAGTCTTGAAATAAGCAGTCTTCTCAGAGCACGAATTATTTCATTTATTTATAATTTTCTTTATTTCATACTGAAAATATCTTTATACAGTTGCTTAAAAATGTGTAATAAAATATTTATGTAAAATTCTGTATAGAATTGTAAAAAAGTGTAAAATAATAATCATAAACTTTATTTATTTATTGGATATAATCTGTGAATATATCTGATGCCAATCTAAAATATTGTTTTGTCCTTTTCCCAGGAGCTGAGGATGTGGTGATGGCCTTTTCAAGATCAGAGACCGAGGACAGGAGACAGTGACCTCGCGCCATGTCGAGTCACTTCAGCTGAACACACAACACAGCTGACTGATGGAGAGGGCGGAGCCTGAGACGAGAGAGGGGCGGGGCTCTGCTGCATGCCAGTTGCCCCACTTCCCTTCTCTTCCCCATTCCCCTCTTCTTCCTCACACTAACTGTTACACTATCGGGCCCTGCGGCCACACTACCTGATGACTTCTAGCAAATGAGTCTGAAAGAGTCCTGGCGGGTAAAAATTCGATTTGGGTTTTTAAGTTTCATTTTTGCATCATCCTTCCATAAATGGCGTTTTATATTTGTTCCCATGAGAGACTTCATGGACCAAGAGCTTCATTTGTCTGGTCAAACTACGAAAGAATATAAATCGCCTTATGGGTTATGTTATTACAGACGATTTTCTTTTTGTGTGTATGTAGTTTCTTGTTTTAATTGTCCACAGGATCCTGCAGGTAGACTATTTTTTGTTTGTTTACTTTATTGTTTTCAGGGTTTTTGATTGTTTAGTAGTCATTCGCGTCGTAATTTCATCAAAATAACATTAATGTTGTTGTGGAGGATACCGAATTGTCAAAACGGATGAGGTCTGTACACAAGCACACACTCACAGAACGATGTACACAAATGACCTGATGTTTCATGATCTCTTTTTTCGATGTTTGGATTCATGTGAAATTTCAATGCTTTTTTGTACAGAACGTGAGAAAAAAGTAGAAAAGTGAACGAGTTGTGCCAACTGTGTTTTTACGTAAAATATTTCTAAAGGTATCTAATGAATGTCTTAGGTCCTTATTTATTTTTTCAATGTCTTAAAATGTAGACAAACACAGACCCCTTTTAAACTTCAATTCTGATTTGTAACCACGTTTTAATACAAATGATTTTAGGAAATGAATTTAGGATTTTAGAAATAACGACAAATTTACACATCAAATGGAAAGCCTCAGCCTTAAGCGTTGTAACAGGACGTGCCATATATTTGACCGTTTGATTCAGTGGTGCTAGTCAAACACACGTTTTTAGTTATTCTAATTGAAGTCGAGGATGAATATAAGCTTGTGTGAATTCAGAGGACGCTTAACGTTCTTGCGACAACTTAATGAAAACAAAACCTTTTTTTCTATTAGGAGTTCAATTAAATCAGTTTTGTGTTTTGGCCTCTGACCTTTTTGGTAAGCTTGTGTGAATTCAGAGGACGCTTAATGTTCTTGCGACAACTTAATGAAAACAAAACCTTTTTTCTATTAGGAGTTCAATTAAATCAGTTTTGTGTTTTGGCCTCTGACCTTTTTGGTAACATTAGTTCATGTTCAGTATTTAATGTGTATTCATGTTTTGTTAACTTGCTTAACATAATTATTGTATCTTAGTGTTTTGAAATGACGCATGCCTGCATTGTGGTCTCTGGTGTATGTTCAAGTAGCTCTAATGGTCACTAGCTCTAAAGAGCCTTGCTGCATTAAACATCAATGTACACCTCTTTTTAATCTGTGGATGTAAGTCCTTTGAAAATGGCTTTTATAGTTCTCGCTAATATCAGCAATAAGTAGTATTTGATTGAATGTCTTCAGTCATCAAGACTACTTGTCCATGTGACAGCTGCATTTTGACAGGAACATGCATCTGATTTCTTTTTAACTGTAAATCTTTATTTTGTCTATGCATTGTTTTTTTTTTAACATCAGAAGCATACAATCATGTCTTACATGCACTCATTTCAGGTTGGGTTTGTGGCCTTTGAGCTTTGCATCCATTGAATGTCACTCTGGATTCTTGTTTAATTCATTGACTTCACTTCATGTCGTTCGTACTCGCTTGAGCTGTTAAACTATTTAATGTGAATTTGTCTTTTTTTATGGTTTAAAAATTCAATTGAATGGTTGTTTTATGCCATATGGCCGTCGACCTCATCCCTTGACTTAAATGCGTCCAAAATCTATACCAACTGAACCATTAAAGGAGTTGAAAACTGCCTGTTGTATTGAATGTTTTTGTTTCCTTTGGCATTTATTCTGAAATCATAAAGCATAAAGGACTGCGGTGTTTCTTGAACCTTCTGTCTGTGAGATAAGAACTAAGTTGGAGGAAGATCTCATAATAAGGGCATATTTTGCTTCTCTTTATGGGAGTCTCTGGAATCTGCTCTGGGTTCTGATAAGATACCAGCACAAGAAAAACAGAAGAAAGACGCAATAGATTATGGATGTGCAAAAAAAAGTTTTAAACGTTAATTCACATGCAGATCATAATGCAATTTGATCAGTCATATTGAATGTTTTCTGTTTGGGTTTTAAAAGATGGAAATAAACCAAACATATCAAACTTAGGTGCCATTTTTAACCATTTATAGGGTGATGTTACATCCAAACCCTATTTATGGACCAGCAGTTACTGAAAGGTAGTTTATGCTAAATTAAATTAAATTATGAAAAATAAAACCTAAATGTTCAATTTCATTTTAACATTTGCCTTTTCATTTTAATATTGGCAATATTTAAATATTAATTAATGGCATTTTTAAATCTCACGGGAACAATGCATTGTTGCTGCTAAAATGAAAATTGAAAAATTAATATATATAGATATATATATATTCATTTATCAAATTTTTTTTTGGTAAACAAATTTGTAACGCAAAATACATCATTTGGGGGGAAAAAAGTTTGCGACTCTTGTTTCAAAGTGAAACTACTCGTTTGTAATTTGGTTCTCTTAATCATATCATTCACAATAATACTAGCAGTGACTTTGTCCTTGAGTATACGTAACTGTATAGTATTTTGGTGCCAAAAAGTGAGGGTACAGTATACAGGCTTCTGCTAACCGCAGACTGCGATCTGTTTCCCCATTCTGATTACATGAATTCCCTTATAATAACCAACATCTGTTCAGTGCTTCTCCCGCCATCTTCCACAGATGGTCAAATCCTGTGATTTAGAGGAGGCTGGCTGTGGGAACGAAGCGCCAGCTGCTGTGGAATTTAAATGGGTATGCATCATCCTCAATTTGATCAACATTTTCAGAGCATGACACTGACACACAGCTCTGTCACCTGACTAGATGAATGTACGCACATCCCAAATCCATTAGACCCAAATTGTTTTACCCCTCCGTCCCTTTCCTTCTGCCTGAAACCGTATGTTCATCTCAGATCTGTGCAATATGAAGCCTCTTGCCCTAAAACGTAACTTGAATATTCATGATGTCTGTTTAGAGAAAGTTGGTTAATGGTTTGAAGGCGTATGCTCGGAATGGAGCCCAGCTTTTTGGCTGACTTAAAAAGCTGTGCTGATACTGTCTGGGGAGATATGAGCGCAAAATGAAGGCTGTGATGTGTTACAGTAGCACAATAGAGTCTAGAACAGGGGTGCCCAAACTCGGTCCTGGAGGGCTGGTGTCCTGCAGAGTTTAGCTCCAACTTGCCTCAACACACCTGCCTTCAAGTTTCTAGTATGCCTAGTAAGAGCTTGATTAGCTGCTTCAGGTGTGTTTAATTGGGGTTGGAGCTAAACTCTTCAGGACACCGGCCCTCCAGGACCGAGTTTGGGCAGCCCTGGTCTAGAACCATCTTTGAACCTCTTAAGAAACTTTAAAAGGAGCAGTTCTTTGACAAACAAACAAAATGAGACTCATAAGCAGAGTTGGATGAAGTTAAAGTACAGATACCCTGATGAAATATTTCTCCAGTAAAACTAAATACTTATTTTAGATTCCTATACTGTTCCTATTTTTAAAAGTGTTTGGATATCAATAACCACCTTTTATTATTTTTAATCGTTTAAATAGGTTAACGCGCAATATTGTTAGGAATGAATTTATCTTGAGGAAAATATTATTTCCGGTTCTTGGCTCATTTTGAGTCGAACAATACCAACTCAGCGAACAGTTAACTTGAGACTCGCTTCGAACGGATGATCAAATCAATTGGATGAGTCGAATTCACAAATATCATCTACTTGATTCATGAACCGGTTCACTCGGCACATTGAAAGGAGTCTGTTCAAAAGAACAATTCGTTCACGAATCAGACATAGCTATCGCGTCGGTTCCCTTTCATGGGAACTTCGAACTGCGTCCTCTAGGGGTCGCTATGGGGAACGCCTCGTCGTGGGCGTTCTCCATAGCCACCCCTAGAGGACGCAGTGTCTCGTTCCCTACTCAGGGAACCATGGTTACATATGTAACCTGAGACGTTTCTTCTCTTCTAAATAACGAACTGAGAACGATTAATGAAATGTGGTTAGGTAAAAAGTAGTGTAGTGAGAGAAATGTAAAATATATGAAAAATCCCCTACACTATTGTTATAAAGTTAAAAAATAAGCTCTTGCAATAACTCTACAGTCATTTCTTCAGGTAAATGCTATATTAGGCCTACATATATATGCAATTAAACTGCCAAATTGCAAACTAACCATAAGCCTAAATAAAAAGTATGAATCTTCTGAAAAGCATTATTATTATTGAAACGTATCCACCTTATTTTTAACGTAAGAAAGTTGTTCCGGTGTTTGCCTACAGTTATTTTACCTGTACGAAAACAGTATGCTGGTATTTTTATCATATCACTTTAATCCGTCATCATAATCATAAACACACCGGATTGTAGCGCAAATACCGTTTGCTGTTAGCAGCTAAATGAATCGGAAGTCACGCACACACAAAAAAAAGTTTACTTGCACGTTGCAAAATGTGACCCTGGACCATGCACAAAACCAGTCATAAGGGTCATTGTTTTAGATTTATACCATCTGAAAGCTGAATAAATAAGCTTTCATTGATGTATGGTTTGTTAGGATAGGACAATATTTGGCCGAAATCTGGAATCGAAATACACTGAAAAAAATGATTCATTGAATTTACAAAAAAAAATGTAATGTAAGTGGTTGCAATCAATTTATTTTAGCTACATTTAAATAAATAAAAATTTAAATGTGGTTGCAATCAATTTATTTGAGCTATATTTAAATAAACAAATTTAAATGTAGCTAAAATAAATTTATTGCAAACACTTACCTTAAAAAAATAATAAATTCAGTGAATCATTTTTTTTTTTCAGTGTATTGAGAAAATCACCTAAACTTGTCCAAATTAAGTTCTTAGCAATGCATACTACTAATCAAAAATTAAGTTTTGATATATTTACGGTAAGAAATTTACTAAATATCTTCATGGAACATGATCTTTACTTAATATCCTAATGATTTTTGGCATAAAAGAATAATCGATCATTTTGACCTATACATTGTTGGCTATTGCTACAAATATACCCGTGCGACTGTTGACTGGTTTTGTGTTCCAGGGTCATAAATAAGGTAGTCTATATAAGTCACTGCAAAATCTCATATTATTAGGTGAATATCTGCCCACTGGTTGAACTTATTTAATAAGCTTGCGTGGAGAGCAGGATTCAACATGTTAGCTGAACTATCTCCTTCTGGCAATAATTTCACCACTTAATTCAAAGACACTTTGAAACAACTTGAAAACGCTGACGTGCTCAGACTACTCCACACTTCAGCTCATATGTTACCACTCATATCCAGTGATGATATTCAAGCAATCTCATGCTCAGAGTTGTAAATCCGCAAGGTAAATCACATCTGAAGCTTTCTGTGATGAGTTAAACATTGCTTCTTTCACTCCATCCTCTTCCTGCACGCCTCTTCATTGTTTTCAGCCATATACTTTATGGATTTGGCTGATATTAATGAGTCATATGTGGGTGGAGAGCCACTGTTTTTTTTTACTCCAAGTCTCCTGTCCTCAAACTGCTCTCTGTTTAAATGAGTATAGCCAAAATTCAAGCCATACTGATTAATCCTGGGTGCGTCTCATCTCACTCAACCAGAGACGTCTGCATTCATTTTTGCCGGATCACAAAGAGCACATTAGTCTGACCATCTGCTGCATAAGTTATTTTCTTCAATAATTAAAAGGATAACTTGGCAGTTTTTACATAATCACTATGCTGCATTTAATTTTGATTCTGTTCAATTTGAGTCACCAGTTCTTGTTCTAGTTAGAATCTAATTTTGATTTAGGGGTTATTTTGCTTCCATAACTTCCATAACGAAAACATCCCAAATACCCATTTATGTGTGTGTGTGTGTGTGTGTGTGTGTGTGTTTAATCTATAAATGTCAAGTGCAGTACTTATCTTTAAAGGCCAAAATTATTTTTAAAAATTGTCTATCATTCTAATAATTTATGTAACATTTTAGTCCCAAGTTTTTTTGCATGCATGCAACTAATAAAATATAATAAAATAACATTTTAAATTAATGGAGTGATAGAAAGAAATCTTCAAAATCCCTTTTATACGAAACTTTACCTCTAATATGTCTATAAAATGAAACAAAAATTTTGAACCTAAGAAATCAGGAAGGGGGCCAACACTTTTTCACACCACTGTATTTCAGGAATATGTCTTTTTTTTTTACATTTTATATAATATAATGTATATGTTAATATATATTTTATTAGTTAAATTATTTAGTTAATTGATCATCATCCAGCAGGAATGTGCACATGATGTAAAGACATGCTTTTCCAGCTTTCCACTTATTTTTTTGACAGTGACCATTTTAGAAATTTTCACGGAAGCGATGCACACGAGCTGACGCTGTTTCAGGTTCGTTTTAGCACATCCTATTTATATACAGACTATATTACAAGCATTAATATGAAGCATTCAGGATGGTGTCCATCACCCCTGGTGTTTTTATAATGAGTCCTGTCCACCTATGGCCTTCTCATACACCCGTCTGTCTCCTGCTTTTGCCATCAGGATGTCCTCCCACCTTGACCGGAGGTTTGAAAAGTGTGTGGGAAAATAAGCATATCGTTGAAAAATAGGAAAAACAGTGGATATAAGATATATAGTTGAGGTTATTGGCCATATAAAGCAAAGCTTCCTTTGAAAGCTTTTCACCCATACCAGTTCTATTGCTTATGTGAGCACTAATAGAAAAGAATGTGTTGATATTGTCAGGGCCAGTAACATCTCATTTAGCTTGTCTCTGCGGTTGCCATAGATACAGCACACTGCATGCTAATTATGCAGCGGTCAGGCTTCAGCCGAAGGTCTGAGTCTTTTATTAACCTGAATTTTTGTTCCAGGAACTCCACAGAGACACTCCTGCACAATCAGTTGTGTGTTGACAGAGCAGGATAGCAGGAGATATGCTCATTAATATGTGTATGTTAGATCACACATATTTACTGCTATTTTAAGGTCCAGTGTGTGTGTTACAAGGCAATCTGTATATAGCCTTGAACATTTGGAGCTTCAGGCACATAAGAAGATCGTGTTATGCCATCAGTGTCTGTCAAGATGACTAAAATACTTTTTTTAAGGATGTTAATACTCAGACATGACAACCACATCAGCATTCAAAAATCTTTCTTAATCAGTGGGACATTTTTTGTCTTGATTTCAGAGTGGGATCTTGATTTTTTTTTATCAGATCACTTCTCTGCATTGTGGCTCCTTGTGGAATGAGTCTGGAAACTGTTTTTAGGAGAAACTTCAGATGCTTCTTGGGATGCAAGAAGACAAAATGCTGAATAGGCAGTTTATGTGGCAGTATACCAGAACTGAACGTTATTATAGGCTACTACATATACACATTTATGTTTATTATAATACACAAATGTTGTGTTTGTTTATTAATATTAGACAAGAGGTAAATACAAAAGCAAAATAAAATTGAATTGAATTCATGATGGAATGTCATATTTACTTTGTACACATAGCATTTCTTTTCTTTATAAAACCTAATCAAATAAAGTAAATAAAAATAAAATAAGTACCTTAATTAAGTTAATAATAAAGTAATATTAATATCTTCTATTTGGCTTTATTACAGAGTCCAGCATTTGGTTCATACTAAAAAAAATAAAAAATAAAAATAAAATAACAAAGCAAAAATACAAGTAAAATAGTTTAAAAAAGTTAATAATAAAACAGTACTGAAAATTATCTTCTTTTTCACTTTATTAGATATACTGTTTAATTGTACTGAATTAGGTGTATTATTTTCAAAATATAAAAACAAATGTATTTTTATATAAATATTATTGGATACATAAAGTATTAGAAAATACTATTTGTACTATAAAATACTAAAACTTTTTTATTCTTTAAAGCGAATGGCTGATGGGATATTTGTATGATTTTATAACTTTTTTGTTTGTTTTCTGTGTGTTTTTCTGTTTTTGATGACTTGCTGGAAAGCACATTGGTCAACGGAAGTTGTAATTAATTGTGCTATATAAATAAACTGTCATTGTCATAAAAGATTAAATGTAAATGTCAAATACTTACAGATACAAAAACATCACAAATAATGACAAAGAAACAGCAAGTAACGCATATATATTTGTACTTCTTCTTCTACTACCTTCATTCGGCAGATTTTAAACGCTGCAGGCAGCAGCCAATCACATTGAGGCACAGACAGTGACCTCTGTTGCAAGCATTTCAGAATATGCCGATAGTGCTGGAGTTTCTATTTGATTTAGTGCAAACACATTTTATTCTGTCGGATTGTCGAAAGGCGTATTTCTAACAACAACTACTTTTAATTTTCAGAGCGTCTTAAAAATGCATTGCTCATGCATTTGTACAAGTCAAGTCAAGTCAAGTCTGCTTTATTGTCAATTCTTCCACATGTACAGCACATACACACAGAACAGACTACACAGTCTACACAGACCAACAAATAAAAACGGCGGATTACAAGAACGCGTCTGCTGCTGAAAGACTGATTGCGACATGGATTTCAGTCGACTGAACTAGAATCAGCAACTCTGTTCTCAATCTGGTATACATCACACTTGTCTAAGAGGTAGACCTGGCCCTAGATCAGCTGATGCTGTTGTGCGAGACAGTTAAAGGGGTCAAATGATGCGTTTTCAATTTTTCCTTTCTCTTCGGAGTGTTACAAGCTCTTGGTGCATAAAGAAGATCTGTAAAGTTGCAAAGACTAAAGTCTCAAATCCAAAGAGATA